CCACAGCCCCACTTCTGGTTTTCTGGTAGTTTATCAGAGATAAGGGTCTCATGGACTTTCCTCTCCAGGCTGGCTTTGAATGGCGATCTCACATCTCAGCCTCCAGAGTCTAGGATTACAGGCGTGAGCCAGTGGCGCCTGGCCAGATTTTAACATTTTAGATTCCAAATTTTCATATGAGGGATGCTCAAGCTGTACAACATATTGTTAGGACAATTGTAGAAAAACTAAATCCATACTATCCAAATTAAAAATCTCATGAAGCATACCAGATCATCTTTACTAAAGTAATTTATTCTGAAATTTTTTATATGCTTGCTTTCCCTAATATATTTACTTTTCTAACTAGGTTTCATTTAAGCTAATATTGAAACAAACTTTGGAATCCTTTGTATTCTAAATACTAAGCAGTGAAAACATAAGTACAGAAAGACAGAAAGTTTATTTTTTAAGCTATTGTAAATAAACACTAAAAATGTAGCCTACAGTATAGATTAACTTTATCCTTGTATTAATCATGAATAAAAAGAAAACCCCAAGTGAGAGAATTTAATAAAAACGTTTGTTTTTTCTAAATTACTTAAAGCAAATTAAATAACATGTGTTTCAATAGCTATATATGAATATAAGCAAGCCCTAAGTTGTGTTAAAATCTGAAATCACGTGAAAAGAAGTAAAACAGTAAAAACTGTTTAACTTGCCCAAGTAAATCCAATGTTCTAAATCTTAATTTCCCCATTTACAAGTTACCCTTTAAGAAAACTGAGGACAAAATCCTACCCTTCACATAATCAAAACATGATCAAAGTAAAATTTAATTCCCTAGATATCTAAGAATACATGAGTAGTGACACTGTACTTTAAGAGGCAATTATTAAAAGATGCAGATGTGGTGTTTCCAGCAATATTTATTACCAAGCCTGGATCTACATCCACTCCTCGGGATTCCAGGTTCTTCCGAACGGTGGTTATCTCATCACTTGCAAGGTAAGCTGGATGTTCCTCGTTACATTTCAACATCTTCTCCAGTTCATTCTTGGTTTCATTGTGAACACACTTTAAAATATTCAAAAGAACCATAGTTAGACGGTTCCTAATTGGGCACATGTAAAAACGGAGTCCCCATTATAATAAATACACTATGTACAATAGGTGACCCAAGCTTAGCTACAATAATAAAAAAGAAAGGACTTAATATCTTGGCTGGTCAATGTGGGAAAGAGACCAACAAATGTCTTAATGAAGGAGGGAAATTTACTCCATTAGGTTTTGCTTTTACTATAATGTTGTACTGTTGAGGTTATAGTGCCAGGTGCTTTACTATATACTTTCTTTCTTAACTTCAGGGCAGAATTTGGGTCTTTTGAAAAAGTACTCTGAATACATGGGAAAAGGCAATGTCTTATAAATACCTATAAAGACTTGTACCTGGCGATACTTTTCTTTTCCAACTAAAACAAAAATATAGGGTTTTTTTTTGTTTTTTTTTTTTGGGTCCGGTCATGGGGCCTGAACTCTGGGCCTGAGCGCTGTCCCTCAGCTCTTCAGCTCAAGGCTAGCGCTCTACCACTTAGCCACAGTTCCACTTCCGTTTTTTTTCTTTTTGCTTATGTGGTGCTGAGGAACTGAACCCAGGGCCTCAGGCATGCAAGGCAAGCACTCTACCACAGAGCCAACTTCCCAGCCCCAGTTTTTGTTGTTTTTTTTTTTTAAAAGCCTTTATACACTGTTCCTGAGGAATCTATCATTCTTAAATTCACTTTCAGTCTCTCATTTGTAATTGTTCATTAGTCTCCTCAACAAAAAAGGAATTGTACTAATGTTGAAAACATTATGTATGAAATGTATGAAAACATAATATTAGAAATTTGTTAGGAAATGGAAAGACTTGGAAAAAATTATATTAAGTGAAGTAAGCCAGGCCCAAAGAAACATGGGTCCCATGGTTTCCCTTATTTGGAATAGCTAGTATATGTCTGAGTCAAGCAGAAAAGGTCAGATAAGGTGATGTTAGGAAAATGAACCCTAAGATATGTACTCAAATTTTTTTTTCTTTCTTGCGATTGTTTCTAACACATTTATTTTATTTATTTATTTTTTGGGTCCGGTCATGGGGCCTGAACTCTGGGCCTGGGCGCTGTCCCTCAGCTCTTCAGCTCAAGGCTAGTGCTCTACCACTTGAGCCACAGCGCTACTTCCGGCTTTTTTTTTCTTTTTGCTTATGTGGTGCTGAGGAATCGAACCCAGGGCCTCAGGCATGCAAGGCAAGCGCTCTACCACTGAGCCACCTTCCCAGCCCCTCTAACACATATATAAGATTATTTCTTTGTTGCTTTGTATGTCCTTCCCCCATAGTATAACCCCTGCTTTCACTGTATTTAATGTCAGTATAATTTGTGGAGGGGAAGGGGAAAAACAAATCGTTTAAATAGGGATACAGGTGGACCCATTGCAACAATGAGATGTACAAGTCGTTATGTTGAAAACGAACTTTACAACTTTGGTGGGAGGGGGGAGCGGGGAGGACTGGGTGGGAGGGTGCGGGGTGGACGGGAAGGGATGGGAAGGGGAAACAAAGGAGGAGGCTACAATGCTTGATAAGAAATGTACTCATTATCTTGCCCATGTAATTGTAACCCCTCTGTACAGCATTTTCACAATAAAAAAAAAAAGATTTTTTGTCAGTTGTGGGGCTTGAACTCTGGGCCTGGGTACTGTCCCTCAGCTCTTCAGCTCAAGGCTAGCACTCTACCACTTGAGCTACTGCACCACTTCCAGTTTTCTGGTGGTTTATTGGAGATAAGAGTTTCAGGGACTTTCCTGCCCAGGCTGGCTTTGAACTGCGATCCTCAGATCTCAGCTTCCTGAGTAGATAGGATTACAGGCTTGAGCTACCCGAGCCCGGCTAGAAACAAATTCTTATACTGTGTTAAATTAAATTTATCTTGTTATTTCCTGAATTCAAAATTGGAGGATAAAATAAACTAAATAACTTATTACTGTAAACAAGTTTCTAAAACAGCACTTTGTTCCAAACTATACCACCACTAAATTCCAAGTACTTCAACAAAACCACTTAAATGCCACTATTCAGCTTATAAATGGAACTACCAATTAATGATATCTGACAACATTATAAACATTATAACAAAAATATTTCCTGAAGAGAAAATTGACTATATAGTTCTATGTCTCTATCCTATCTGTGGTAGGCATGAGCGCCCTGATAATGGTGTTCCCCAATTAGCCCTAGCCCATGCCTGCTTCACCCTTTTCACCATCATCTCTCCTGTTAGCACAACACAGCAGCTGGTCAGCTCAGACATGATGAGAATGTTAATTTTCCTAGAATACTAAGGAAAAAGTAACACAAAGCAGTTTTTAGAGCTTGGAATACTCTAATGCAGGACAATCTTAAGTGTATCTTCCTGCCAAATGGAATTTTACAGCAGCATAAATTTGCAATGTGAGTCCTGGAGATATGCTCAAGCTTTGCTAGAATTGGCTTCTCACTGTAACCAGCAGGAATGAGATCTAGAACAGCAGTTACAACTGGAAGTGGGATGAACAGAAAGGCTAAAGAGAACTTAAACCAAGTGAATCTGACATGAGGCCATCTTTTAAAGGTAAAATTGAAGCATATATATATATATATATATATATATATATATATATATATGCTTCCCCAGAAGTCTGACATCCTTCCCCTCTATATTCAAATTGTGGCTTCTGTTCACAGTCAAGCCTCTAAGTTTACAAATACTTCCCTGAAAACTTTGGAGAGGTTTCCAGATTCCTCTCTTAGGCTTCCAAATCTTTACATTGACCTTAAAACAAATCCCTTTGCTTCTCTTGAAGGAATCTTTGCTATGTTCACCTTCCAGAGCAAAAAACCTTACATTGAGAAGTTATTTCTCTCTGAGTGTGTTAGGTCAAAATATGTTTACCATTAATTGCTCAGGCAAGTTCTGTGATTGTTGCTGAGGCCCAATTTCACTAATCTTGCAGGCTGGATGTATTTTTCTCTCGAGTTTCTGTAGTTTATACCAGCTCATTCTAATCAATGACTCTTCTGTCTTAAAGTTAGAAACCTCTCATGGATTCCCTAGTTTTTTTTCTGACAGACTTCATTCTCTCAGCCCACCTGTATGATAGAGATGACTGAGGCACACTGAATAGGTGTGCATGTCCAGTCACTAATTTATGATGCTATGCCTTATAGAATGTATGAAACAAGAAGTTAGGAAATTAGAAAAAGTAGATTATTAACTATATAATTAAATAACTAAAATGAAAATAAAAATATAAAGAAAACACATGAGTAATATGGTCACAGACTGGAATAGGCAATGGAAAATGAAGAAAGTGAAATCACAAAGTTATCTCTCCTTTCTTCTATTAACACAGCTACCTCACTTTTAAAATGTGTTCCATGGGGCTGGGAAGGTGGCTCAGTGGTAGAGAGAGCGCTTGCCTTGCGTGCCTGAGGCCCTGGGTTCGATTCCTCAGCACCACATAAGCAAAAAGAAAAAAGCCGGAAGTGGCGCTGTGGCTCAAGTAGTAGAGCACTAGCCTTGAGCTGAAGACCTGAGGGGACAGTGCCCAGGCCCAGAGTTCAGGCCCCACGACCAGACCCCCCCGCAAAAAAAAATAAAAAAATAAAAAAATAAAAAAATAAAAAATGTGTTCCATGTAGCTGGTTCATTATTCTAAAAACCTATTAAATATTTTAGATGGATTAATATAAAATATTAGAAATTCTTAAAATTAATCTAGACTAATGAAAAAATTGTGTGTGAGTGTGTGTGTTTATGTGTGAGCACACATGTGTGCTGGAGTTTGAACTCAGGCCTCTAAATTTGCTAAGCAGGTACTTTGTCGCTTGAGCCATGCCCCAGTGGGGTTTTTGAGGTAAGAGTCTCATCTTTATGGCTGAGCTAGTTTGGACTGTGATCCTCCTTCTTGTGCTTCCCCATGCCACTAGGATGACAGTCACCAGCCATCAGTCAAGATCAAGTCTAAAGAAGTTTTTCTTTTGGCTAGGGTTGGCCTCAAACCGCAGTCCTTTGGTTTCTCCCTCAAGTTGAACCATTACATCTGGCTCAGAAATTATAATGTAATGCTTGAATTATGGCCAGAACTATGTTTTTACCTGTTCTTGGGTCCGATTCTTCCAGTGCATCCACCTCTTTTTCCAGTCTGGACCTATCATGTTTTCAATTGCATTTTCAGCTAGGAAAAGAATTTTAAAAATTAATTCATCAAGAACTCTATTTAACTAATAACAATCATGTTTCATTAACTGTTTCTAATTGCTAAATAATTGCAAAGATAGTTTAAATGAAATTATGATTGATATAACATATATAAGGAAGAATTATATATATAAAATCTGTAAAAAATACCCTTATTTATTGAATTCCTAAAAGAGAATAAAACATTCTGAAGTATAAATTTTTAGAATATAAGTACATGTAAGTGGCACATGTCCAATTTAGTCCTTTGCGTAGTAACAAAGCAGATGATTCAAAATCCCACAAATAACATTCAGCTACTTTAGTAACAAACAAGTTAAACCGCTAATTTTGTTTTTATAAATGTTCATTAACACTGTATGACTGCTTCGCCACTGTAAATGCTTAGAATTCAAGAGTCTGTCCCTACTCACTATCCTTCAGACGAGCCTGAAGAGCCTCTTCCATGAAATAGATAGCTGCATCCCACTGCTGTTTATCAGATATGGACCGGTCTTCTAAAGCATTGTGCTGAATAACCCTCTGAAAGGTAAGGAAAGAAAAGGCTAAGTTGATCTAGGTCTCTTCATTTTGGTAATTTTATCCAATCTATCATCTTAGTAAATACCTAAAATAATAGCCAGATTAAAACATTGTAACAGTATGTTCCTCTAAAACAATGCAGGAGCCCCTTCAATATGCCAGTTTGTCAGCTTTCTGTCTCAAAAATAAACCACTAAGAGTCTCTCCTGGCTTAAATTAAACAAGTTAACTATGGGGGCAAAATAGGATAGTTGTATTATACATTTAACTTTATAAAATGTAGTAACGCAAACCCTGATTTCCAAGGGTTAATAATGAATATCATCTTTCCTTCTGTTTTTCTCACATGAGCTATGTATCAGCATTTAAAAAAAGAAATATTAACCATTATGTCACTGTTAGCAATAAAAATAGGACAAATGTAAATGTCTAGCTAATCATAAATTTCAGCTATGCATTACAAGTGAAAATTGCTTCCAAGTTTTGTAACTTTCAAGTGAATGAATGAAAATTGCATGGTTTGGAAAGCCAATCTTTAAGGTACTTAGTAAACATACATATGATTTTCAAATTTGAAGACAGATATTTCTTCAAAACAAAATTATTATTATAAGCAGCCCATGTTGAGATATTCGCTCACAACTGTAAATCCTTGCATTCAACAGTACCATTCATGACTCTAAATAGAACAGGTGCATAACAAAGGTTAATTATGTGGTGGAAATATTATACATAACCAAAGTTTATCAGGTGGTAGAGGTCAATAGCCAAGCTCTGCAGTCAGAACAGGCCTCACTGGTGAGAGGTGGCTGGATTATCAACTAACCAAATTGATAAGTGCATAGCTAAATGGCCTATTAGGAAGTTGAGCCTGGATGTAGGAAGTGGGTCACTAGAGGTGTGCCTCTGTGCATGCTCTCTCTTTCTTCCTCCTGCCATTTACTCTCCTCTTCCCTCCCTCATTTCCTCCTTCCTGGCGGCAATGAGGTAAGCAGTTTTCCTCCATTATATCCAGCTGTTTCTGCCCTTGCCACAGGCCTAAAAGCAATGAAGCTAGTTGAGCATGAGCCTTTGAAACCATGAACCAAAAGAAATCTTTGTTTCCTTAGCGTGTTAATATCAATTATACTGGTGCAACTGCTTAAGAATATAATCTAGGGCAAAGATGTGGCTCAAGTGCTAGAGCAACTGCCTGGCAAGTACAAGGTCCTGAGTTCAAGTCCCAGTATCAACATTAAAAAGAAAAGGAGCTGGGCGTCAGTGGCTCATGCCTGTAATCCTAGATACTCAGGAGACTGAGATCTGAGGATGACTGTTCAAAGCCAGGTGGGGCAGGAAAGTCTGTGAGACTCATCTCCAATAAACTGAGAGAAGACCGAAGTGGCGCTGTGTCTCAAGTGGTAAGACTGCTTGCCTTAAGCTGAAGAGCCGAGGGACAGCGCCCAGGCCCAGAGTTCAGGCCCCATGACCGACCAAAGAAAAACAGAGACCAGAGAATGTTAAAGAGCAGATTATAGGTAATAGCCCATAAATACATTTCCTTATTTTGAATTAAGAATGTAACTTGAGTACTCATATAAAAATAGTCTCCTATGAAAGGATGTTATTTGAGCACTCATACCAAAATGCTGTTTCTGCCCCAATGATACAAACAACATACCAAGCTATCTTCAGCAAAGTCATTCCACTTGTGGCGTTTAATACTCTCTTCTTTAACAGCTTCTTTAAGTTTGTCAAATATGTCATCATGTTCCTTTCCTTTGGGTTCTGTCATGAAGCGGGAAAATTCTTCTTGTAGGGTCTCCCAAGCAACCTAGTATTGTTTAAAAGAAATATTTTTTATTTATTATGTAGTCTAAAAAATAATGCAAATTCAAGCCAAATAGATAACTGACAAGTCAGTTTATCTGAAAACACACATGAAACACATTCATAAAAAGGTAGCGAATATAAACTTGCTGTTTTAACACCTAACATACAACACATTTTAGCACAATTTTCAAAAACTTGGCTGAGAATATTCAAAACTTGAGACTTCTTATAAATATCTACATCTCCAGCTCTTTTGAACAATTTCAAAACAGTATACCTGCACTCTCACAGGAAACTATTTTTAGATCTTTAGTTCATGTATTGATTTCCATAACCCTAAATTTCTTAGTTATTGAGTCAATCATTTCTCCATTTTTGTCTTTAAGCCAAATAATAAATAGTGCACTAGTATTTTCAAGCACATCCGAATATTAATTAGTTATATGCTTGTATAATAGCTAACATCTACTTCTTTAAATAGTGAAAGGTACAACACAGGCCAAAAGTAAGAATGAGATTTACTTTGATTAAGTGGGCCTTTAAATGCTGGATAATATATTTTCCCTGTTCTGATTAAACACGAAGACATTATGCAATAAGGACAGGTCCAAAAGACAGAGTGGAAGGGTGCTTCTGGAGCCTCACCAGGTCCAGGCTCTTTTCAATCAACCAATGCTGGAGGGCATACAGTGGCAGGAGACAGAACCATTACCATTTTTATGATACTGTTTGAAGCTTAGGTTACAAAAACTTATCATGGGACAGGCTGCTAGCGACCATAATGAGAACTAGTGACATGATGGCAGTTAGTACTCCTCTAGTTTTTTTGAGGGGTAAATGCTGAGGGACAGAAAAAGGTAAAGTACACCTTAGTATTTAGACACTGACAACAGACTATTTCCAAGGAAAGAATAACAACAGTACTTTTAGGGCTCTGATTCCAATTCTGTGAGCCAGCCTCATGCAGAACACTAGATACAATGACTCTCAGCTAGTAGAACTACTTTTATAGAGTAATGTGTAGGACAATGATGATGACCATAGAACAATAGCTGCTTTTCTGGGGTGGTCCACTATGGGCTAGGTATTATCGAAAAATTTCACATATATTAACTCACTTAATCCTTACAACAGCCCTGTGAGGTAGGCAACACTGTCAAATGAGCAAACAGGAAGGTTAAAGGTTAAGTAACTAGACCATTAATCACAGCTTTTAATGGAAAGCCAAGATACCTGGGTAACAAAAATGAAGTCTGGCAAAATCTTAACGATTATGTAGGTATAACTGAGCCCTACAGAAAATTAATAAAGTGTTTTGATCTGTCAAATATTTTCCTCACAGAATCTAAATCCAGAAGTTCAATACATTTCACATTCAAGCAAATTTTGCTAGTTTTGTTAAATGGCATCTTTGGAAAAAGAACCAGTGCCTGGAGGCAATACTGTCACAATTAGCAAAATCTTGTAACAGTAATAAATGCTAACAATAGTAAGGTTAATTCCAAACAGATGAAGAGCCAAAGCATCAATGAGGTCAAAAGGCTAAAATGACAGACAGAGGCTGTGATAGAATAAAATCTAAAATTCACAGCTCCTACTCCTTTCACATAGTGCTTCTTACCCATTTAATTAAATTATAGCCTAACCTCTACTGCTTTATTAGGAAGCTGTTTGTCAGTCCACTGTTTAAGCTTGATATCCACTGTAGTATTAAAAGTCCCCGAATTCATGGTCTGTGCAGCCGGAAGATAGATGTTTTCAATCACGTGAGTTGATACTCTTTCCCACAAAGTCTGCTGAAGGATTTCTTCCCTGAAATGAAGTTTCAAGAACATAAGGTGTAAATGTTAAAAAATTAAAAATGGCTTCACTGATGAATCACTTATTAATAAATTATACATAAAGTATTGATAATTTTGGACAAGTGTGTGGCATCTGTGAATCGCATCAATCAAGATAACATATTCATTATCCTTTGAAGTTGTACTCAATTTGCTACCACTATAATTTGAATTTTCTAGCATTTCACATAATGCAATCATATAACATGTACTGTTGATATTCTTTTACTCAACACAATTACTCTGAAATTCATGGTGTCAAGTGTATTAATATTCACTTTTTAATTGCTTAATAGTCCATTGATGAATTAGCGTATCTATCCACCTGTTGATGGACACGTGCTATTTTCAGCTGTCAGCTATTACACATGATGCAACTATGGGCATATAAATTCACAAACCTATATATGGATACATGTTTTCATTCCTCTTGGGATATGTAGGAGTGGAATGGCTGGATCACGTGACAATTATGTGTTTAATGACTTTTACTTAAATTTGGTAATGAGTATATTTATTTTTGAACAATGCCTTTAAAAATTATCTTTAAGTAGTTGTACAAAGGGTCTTAATTCAACAAATCAGTTTGTGTTTAACTTCTTAAGATACCAAAAAAAGACTGCTTTCCAAAATAGTTATATCATTTTACATTCCCATTAGAAGAGAATGAGAGTTTTTGATGCTCTATATTCTTGCTAACATTTGACAGGATCAATGTTAACTTTTAGCTATTATAGTAGATTTACAATGGTGTTTCATTATGGTCTGTACACCTCTAGTAATTAATAATTATAAGCACCTTCTCTTGTGCTTGTTTTCCTAGTATTAGTAAATATTCACAAGTCAGGCACTAACCTCTCCATTAGTCCAAAATTAATTTGCATCTTTCCTACCATAAATAGCATTATTATTTAGTTTTTTTTCCTTTTGTTGTTCTGAGATAAAAAATGTATTGTTATATATGATAAGCAGGTATTCTATTTCTGAGTTAAATCTTCAGCTCATTAGCAATAATTTATAAATCACTTTTATGTATATCCCCTAGCATGGCAACTAATACCACACACACAAACACATACAACTTATGTCTTTGTCTCTTGTAACTTCAAAAGTGAACTGATTTACACAATGCTATTGAACTGGCTTACACTACAAACATAAACAAACATAAACATAAAACAAAAATAAACAAAAGTTGTTTTACAAACTCATTTAATTAATCAACCAACGATTAAGTTGGAGGTAAAATCAGATCTCTTTCTTTTGGGTAAGGAAAGATTAAAAATGGGCAAATACTGATGACTTAAAGAAAAAATAGATATGACTGAGGAAGAAAAGGCACTGAGATGGGAAAATTAATTCAAATGAATGTCTTGATTTTGTAGTGATAACTTGTAATTAGCACTTGGGCACTACAAATAACATCAATGGTGCAAAGGACAGTTCTCTAAGAACAATAAATTCTTAATAATACTACAAATTTTGTTAGATAATTTAGGCATAAGGAATTTGTTAAATAAAATATGATTGCAAATATTTCAAGGTTCTTTATATACAACTTGCTTGAAGGACATAGAATATTTGTTCATTCATTCATTCCAGGCATGGTATTTACAGCATCACAGAATATCATGAAGTTGATATGGGGCCCAGGGTGCCCTGGAACTTATCATCTTCCTGTCTCCATTGCCTGAGTGCTGGGATTTTAGGGTTGTGCTACCATGCTTAGTTTACTTGTTTATAATGACTCGTTCCAATATATTTAAGGATGTCCAAATTCACATAAAACAAACTGAAGGCAATAATTTTCCTTAGAGGATTTATTTATAAAAATTTCACAAAAGGATACATTTGCTTCCTATCTTAAGTCTCATATAGGATTCAATTAAAAATGTGACTTGTGCATAACATATTGTCCATGTGTTACAGAAAACAGCAACTATTATTACTCTAAAATATAGCTGAATTCCTTTTATAAACCAATTTTCTTTAACAACAAAAAACTTTATAACACAGTATTTTCACGATAAAAAATAAAAATAAAAGAAAAACAAAAATAAAAAAAACCTGTTCATAATTTATCTGAAGCACATTTTTTGAAAAATTTGCCTAAAGGATTTATAGAAATCATAAATATGCATTCTAAGTAAAAAGTGAAGAAAATCTAAAGATGAATCCAGACTTTATAAAAACATGAAGAAAACTCTTTTCCAGAAATTCTATTGATTAGATGTCAATAGCATTTTTTTTTTGTTAAGAAAAGCACGTTAATTTTCTTAACTACTTTTAAGATAAGTCAAGGCAATAATAAATCACTGTGCTTCAATGTAAGTCATAAAGTATAACTGTTGAAAGGCAAAATCAATACTCACCAATGTTTCGGTGTAACCTGGCTCAGACTGATAACTTCATCAAGGATCTCATTTTTAGCCTTTTCGAACAGTTCATTCTAGGCAACAGAGATGAAAGTAAAATTTATACAAGATAATGTCCTGTCTTGATTTTCAGATAACCAAAAGGAAGGATTGGACAAGCTAGCAGATTGAATTTAGGTTTAAATATGCAGGATGAGCAAAAATTCTCTTTTATTCCAGTCTCTTCAGTAATGTCAGAGTCCAAAGGACATAGTGACTGATATAGACTTCTATTTTACTCAATTCTGAATGCTGTTTCTCACCTAACTTTGCTCATATGAAATTTCTACATAATAGATGCTATATGAAAGCACCAACATGTGCTAATTTAGTAATGGTATGTTACCGATGAATTCTGTAAGTAATGACATTTTAAAAACATGGAAAAAATTTAGTTTGCACTAAATTAAGAATATACGTTTTTACTTGAAAAGTAGCATTGATACATCAATTACAAAGCATCACACACACATACATGCATACACACAAAATATGTCTAATAGTTTGGGGTAGACCATAAGCAATGATATTATCAATTCTTTCACTTCTAACATTACATGGACATTAACATAACTATGGTCTATTTCTGGAAGCATATTAACCAATAAGCAATCATTATATTATTAAACCTTTAAGTCTATTATTATAGTTTGAAGAAACAATATTTTGTTCCTTTGTTAGAGATCAATTTGTTAGAGATGAAATTTTGTATGCATTCTTAATGTTTCTAAAGATCAAAACCGGAAACAAAAATTTAAATCTGTTCTCAAGTAGAACTGAAGGATCTATTTGAGATTAATTCAATTCAATCAATAAGTGAGAAGAATACTTCAAATCCTGCAGACTCTTCATAAGACCATTCCATATGGTCATTAACAATATTTTTAATATCAGAAAACTTTTTCTTTTGGTGGTACTAGGGTGTGAACTCGGAACTTTGCACTTGACAGGCAGACATTCTCCTACTTCAGTCACAATTCCAGCCCTTAGAAAACATTTGGAACATTTGTTTTGACATTTTATGATTTTTTTTTTTTGGTCAGTTGTGGGGTTTGAACTTTGGGCCTGGGTGCTGTCCCTTGGCATTTCAGCTCAAGGCTAGTGCGTCACTTCCAGTTTTCTGAGTGGTTTATTGAAGATAAGAGTCTCATGGACTTTCCTGCCAAGGCTGGCTTTGAACTGCAATCCTCAGATCTCAGCCTCCTGAGTAGCTAGGATTACGGGCTTGAGCCACAGGTGCCTGGCACATTTTATGATTTTTATTTACTTTACATAATAAATAAACTGTTGCAGAAGCGGTAACAATTTAGCTTTCCAAATTTCTCTCAACAACATCAACTTTGTTAGAACACAGTACATTAAGTTATTACACAAAATACATGAGGTACCAAATATTACCCGGTCAAGCTCTCGCAGGCGAGGGTAGTTATTCTTCCACTCCGTCTCAAGGTTAAAACGTGTTGCTGGGGAAGAAGGAAAATATTCAGGTTTCATGACTGTTCCTTTCCAGATGTAGTGGTTAAAGGCTATCTTGCCCTGTTTCTGTATTAGCTGGATTTCTAGATCGTGTCTAGGTGCTTCCGTACCCTAGACTCTTGACACCTCAGATTTCACTGTCAGGACAACTATCTCAACTATTCTCCTCAGTTCTCACTTCTCCATGTACAGAGCACAAGTACCCACCCAACTGTAGCCTTCTAGTAAAGCTACTAGGAGAATGGACTCAAGAATCACACACCTGAGACTCAGTCCTGACTCTCAGTGCTGTATGATGCTGGCTGTGAAAGTTACTGTGCCCCTTGGTTTTCTTTTCTGTAAAATGGAATAAAGTAATTCTTACAAATGGGAAGGCAGAAAGTATTCCCACTATGGAAGCAAAGATATGGACTAGCAAAGAATGGGATTTAGGAGACAAGCAGCTGAAGCACAAGCTGCTTTACTTCCCAAACTCTTTCCACTTGTCTTGTTTACCATGCTTTTCTCTCACACACTAGGAAAAAGTTTCTGACCTGACTGAACTCTGCAATACACTGTTAGCAATGTCTTCTTGAAAGGGAAATCTGGTTCCTATCCAACAATGGAAGGGTTGCATTTTTTACATACCTTCTAGTAGCAAATAATCTACTAAGTAATTCTTTGAAAAACCTGATGGAAGCTAAAGACAATGCCTACATTTGTTTGATCATTTGAATAACCCAAATTACCTTTAAAACTATCAGCCTGTTGTTCAACTGACTCTCGTACCATTTTCCAAAAGCAGTCAGACACAGCAAGGCTTAAATTTCTTGTGGTCACTTGGTGTGCCTTGAGCATGCTTGTTCTAAAAAAAAAAAAAAAAAAAAAAACAACAAAAGCTGAAATTTACTAAAATGACAAAGGGCCACCAGGTTAGAGGAGCACATGTTATAGCTACGTATATTTTTTTTCTTTTTTCTTTTTTCTATGTAGTATGGTTGATCTTGAGCCTGCGGAGAGCGAGCTGGCCCTAGATTTCTCCAAATTCACATTTCTTTGCCTCCAATTCTTACGTGTCCAATGACAGGGAACAAAAGACACGCCTTTGTAGGAGGTACCACCTATATTTTCTGTACCAATCCTGTCAACAGAGCTGTCTGAGGTAGAGAAAATCTTCAATGTCAGAGTGGTTCACAAAATTAATTACTAGACACATGGGTTACTGGGCCCCTGAAAAACAGCCAGTGTGACTGAGGAACTAGAGTTCTAAATTTTTATGAGTAAGCCAGTTTAAACTTCAATAATCACACAGGACTACTAAGTAGTGTTGTGGAAAGCATAGTTCTATATGCCAGTCAGCTTCTTCCAATAGAAATTCTCCTGGTGATGGTTGCAGGAACTGTTTTGGCTTATACACTAATCTAGAGGCAGACATACTTTTCTACTTCTGGAAACTCTACAGACAAAGTTCTGGTATCATTCAGCTGCCTTTTTATTAGTTCCTCTGTTTAGATTTTTGATCAGTATCTTCTGTTAATACCTATCTAGGGAGAGATATTACAACATCTTTTAATATTTTGTATACTGTATACTTAAATGTCAATGCTGGCTGTGATGGCACATGCCTATAAACCTAGCTGCTTAGAGGTGCTGACCAGCAAGGTCACAGTATTAGGTTAGCCTAGGCAAAACACTAGGAAATCCCTATTTCAAATAAGCCAAGTGTAATGGCAAACATCTGTAATCCCCACCACTTGAGAGACACAGGTATCTTGGTTTGAGTTTAGCCCTGGGCAAAATATGAGATGCATGTTCATATATGAACAATGTTTTTGTTTAAAGGGTTGAAATAATGGTTCAAATGCTAAAGTGTTTGCCTAGCAAGAAAAAGGCTGAGTTCAAATCCCAGTATCATGGGGGAAAAAAGTTAATTTTAAAAATCACTTTCTATGTAAAATGATCTAAGAAGTATGAATTTTATCTCAGTGTCTTGACAATATCTGCTTTGTATGATAAACTTCTCCCAATCTGCCCAAAAGTAGCCTAAAAGAACTTCCTTAGTTACATATAGAGAAAAAAAACCTATTAATTATATTAACAGTTACAAAATACAAACTTTAACAGAAAACTAATCCAATTTCATCTACGTTCTTGCTGTAAAACATTTCAGTATTTTAATAATCACCTACTTTAGAAGTTTCGAATTCTGAAAAAATTCTTCTTCATATTCTCTAATGGCTTCAATGCTTTCAGAGCTGTTTCCTAGGGAAAAACAGAGACTTTTCACCAAACATTATTTTCGTGTAAAAATTAAAAAAACTAAAATAAATAAATAACCCTAAATTATAATAACCATTCTTTTTTTTTTTTTTTTGTCGGTCGTGCAGCTTGAACTCTGGGCCTGGGCGCTGTCCCTCAGCTCTTCAGCTCAAGGCTAGCACTCTACTTGAGCTACAGCACCACTTCTGGTTTTCTGGTGGTTTATTGGAGATAGGAGTCTCACGGTCTCTCCTGCCTGGGCTGGCTTCGAACCGTGATCCTCAGATCTTAGCCTCCTGAGTAGCTAGGATTACAGGCGTGAGCCACCAGCGCCCGGCATAATAACCATTCTTTAACATACCTTTTCCTGTTACAACAGCAAAATAACCCAGAGCTTTCATTGGGAAGAGTTTGCCTTCAATTATCTGTTGAATCTGTTTTAAAAAGGAGGAAAAATAAGTGTGATTATGAATTTACACACTTTGCAAATAATATTTATATACTTATTACATAATGTATAGTTTAGAAACTAAAATAATTTAATGATGCTATGTATATGTTTATTATAATATACAAGTCTGTAAAAAAGCACTTAAACACAAAATCACAATTTGAGAGAAAACACATTTAATTTTACTATACTGAGAAATATCATATTAAAGTATAAGTAGTAAGATTATACCACTGACTATTGGGTACAGAAATCTCCAAATTTTAGAAATGAAAAGGACTAAACAATGTGTTGAATTTAGTATTGCTTGGATTTAGAAAAATGTTCAAGAGCATAGTCAGGAATGCAGTGGCTTCATTAATTCAATGCCTTTTGTACAATAAGAATCTGCTATATAGTCTTCATGTATTAGGGAAGATAATGTTTATCGGCATAATATGTCATATATAAAGTAAAAAATAAACATATACTTTTCCTAAGTCATGATACCAAGTAAAGAAGAAGAAGAAAGAACAAAAGAAAAGGGAGGGGACAAGGTTAATGACAATATATTAATATACATAATAATTTAAATAAGGGTAAGTAACACTTGCAATTTAAGTATTCTGGAAGTAAATTAACTACAAGCATGGAATTTTGCTTGCATCCTCAATCTGCACTTAAGTATTTTACTATAACTTCCTAACACTTTGTTTTTAAGCAAAGTATTAGAAAACTAAGAAAAATACTACTACTATTTTATTTTATTAAATTTTGTGGTGGTGCTAAGGCTTGAACTCAGGGCCTCATGCTCTCAGCTTAGCTTTTTCAGTCAAGCCTGGCACTCTAATGTGTGAGCCATACCTCCAGTTTGGGCTGGGTTATTAATCTCAATGACTTTTCTACCTGGACTTGTTTTGAACTGTAATCCTCAAATCTCAGCCTCTGACTAGCTAGGATTATAGGTGTGAGCTACAAACACTATCTTTCCACAAAGTAGTCCACAAAATTGTGTGCGTATATGTGTGTTCAAATAATCTCTATCACAGCTGAAACTTGTACAAAGTATCTTTTCTCATAATTAAGAACTTGTCCTCACCCTGTTTGGACTAGCTACATTTTTCTCTGCCAGGTCTACTTTGGTCAAAACAAATATGGTTCTTCTTCCATGAGGATCCATTTGACTGACCAAGTCTGTAACAATACTGCGTTCTGCATCCACAGATCCATCTGGAAACAAATGAAGAATGACACTGCAATAATTGCAGAGTAGGTTTTAACTTAGACACACTGTACCTTTATGCGTATATTATACCTAGAAACTTTTTAATACTTTTACTTAAAGACAGAAAATTCTACCCAATAACAAATAATGTCCATAGTGAAAATCATTAAAATACCCTCAACTTCCATGTTATTTACTAATAAAATAGAGAAGTTTGGCCTTTTTATATAGCATGCATTATATAGAGCAAAGCTTAGATTGCTGAAGAAGAAAGCTCATCAGTGTAATTAAAATCTTTTGGCAGATTTACCTTGAATGCACAGGATGATGGCATTAGGGTTCTGCATGTAAGCTTTGCTGATACTGAAAATAGTTTCCTTGGTGTCAGGAGCCATGCCTGATGTCACAGTCTTGAAGAAAAGGGTTTTACATGTCATTATAAGTGCTATTCACAACAGGAATAATAAATATTCATGTTTTGTATACACTTACATTAATTACACCTGGTAAATCAACAAGCACCATTCTCTGTAGTCCAGGACCTTTTACATTTAAGGATATAGTCTATTTCAGGAAGACAAAAATATACCTAATTAATGTTTATTAAGAATTTTTGATACTACATACCCTGGAAATTCTGCATCTCATTTATTCAGATATTGCATTCATAAATCTATTTTTTTCTTATCCCGAGTGATTATTCTAAAGCATTACTCACAAAGTAATATGCTATTTTAAAACATTAAAAAAAAATCTATCTTAAAACAGCTGCAATCTAAACAACTATCAATACCAGGATTTCTTTGAAACCATAAACATTAACTTTTCCTAAAATACTGATGAAATGAAAGTCCTTACCTCAGGGCTCACAGTACAACCTTCTTTCACATTTTTCCTCATTCGGAGTTCTATTTCATGTCTTAATGCTGCAAGCTATTTATAGGAAAGAAGAAAAATCTTAAGAAAATCTCACTTCACACATGTTCCATTTAATTGTTTTATAAGCTCATCACAATTATAGAAGGTACATAAGTGGAACCTTAGATGAATTCTACTTACGTCTTCCTCTTTGGTGAGATCAAACTCCCGAGAACTATCTTTGAACAAGGCCACATGGTGAGGCCCTTCACTCAGAGTCACCTGCAACAAGAGGAAAACAGGTATATTTAGAACAGCACTGCCACAGTTTAGACCTGGCTACTGCCTTGCAAAGACCCCAGAGTCCCTCATGCCACACTCCAGAAGCATCTGCTAGCACTGTCTGCATGGCAGCTCTGTAGTGTTCAAGTGTATGTACATATGTTGTGACTTCTTAACAACATTGCTGTCTACTTGGTATCTTCTAAGGCTGCTGCCCTTTCTTTCCCTAGTCAATGATATAAGGAGTGCCAAGCATAAAATCAGTATTCTAAAACATGAAAATTAAACAAAATCTTAACTTCAAAGGTGAATTTGGGTACAGGACATTTATTCAGAACTTATCAATATATGAACTATACATTGCAGGTAGGGAAACAGATGACTGTTCCTGTTTTAGCCCTCATTACCCACTGGGAAAAATAGAGAGCTTATCCAGAAAGAGCATGGCTTTTATTATTGACCTTGGATATCTGATCAGCTCTCCAGTTTAGACTTCTCTCCAAATCTATATACTAACAACTTGCTTATTATTACCCCTGAGCAAAAATTGAACTCCCAATCATTTCCAAACCTGATCTAACTAGACTTCTCCAGGCAGCTGACATTCTATAGTGTACAGGCCAAAAAGAAGGTCCTTGATGAGTAATACATTTTCTCAATAATAAACCTGGCAAAAAAAGTTGGTTGATCCCATAATCCCACTTTTTATCAATTTCATTACTACCTCCCTCTGCTCAGAACTTCTGCACTAGCTTCCCATTTTACTCAAAGTAAAAATCACCGTTTGTACAATGACCTACAAGGCCTTAATGATCTATTCTCTACTGATTTGGTCACTTCTAATATCTTACTCTTATCTAGCCATACCAGCCTTTTTACTATTCCCTGACCGTGATTACTCTCTGCCCTTGAGAGACTGTATATCAGTTATTCTCTTGGCTTGGAAACAGTTACCTTAGATAGCAAATCTTGCTTCAAAAGCCACCTTCATGGAACCAACTTTGTTATCCCAGTCAATACTTATGTCAATTGACTGTTTCCATCTTTACAGCATATATTTTCCACTATGGCAAGATCCTTTTAAATTTACCAATGTATTGCCTAGAAGAGTGCTGCTATATATTGAGTGTAATAAATATTTATTTAATGAAAGACTGTAGCCCTTTACTTTCTGTGACTATTAGTGACTTGTTAGTGCTTTTAGGGACAGGCAGAATATACAGTAAGTCTACCCTCCTTCATTTTCAGTAACTTTGTATTTAAAATGTTTTCTTCTCTTTCATAATTATTCCCTTTTACTAAATCATCATAAAAGTTAGCAGTCATGATAATCATTTAATAATGGTTACTGTTTTTGTTTTTTTTGTCAGTCATGGGGCCTGAACTCTTGGCCTGGGCGCTGTCCCTCAGCTCTTCAGCTCAAGGCGAGCACTCTACTGCTTGAGCCACAGCGCCACTTCTGGCTTTTTCTGCTTATGTGGTGCTAAGGAATTGAAACCAGGGCCTCATGCAGGCAAGGCAAGCACTCTACTACTGAGCCATCTTCCCAGCCCCTTAATAATGGTTATTATATAATGATCATATAAATAACTTTTAAATCTTCTTTGTACTCAACATATTTCAACTAATACTGCCCAATTTATCTGCTGTTTAATAAAATTAGAAAATTATCTACCTTCACCAATGTGACTTCCAATATAATAATTCTTCCTTAGCCTCTCTGTATATTTTACTCAGAATAAAGTTCAAAGGCCTTACATACCATAGCTTGGTACAGCCTGGCCACTCTCTGAAGTTTTCTCCCATTCTCTCCATTTACTTCTCAGCTTCTGACACAGGCCTCCTGGCTGTGCTTTCTACTGATTTCTAGGATGGGAATGATTCCAAATGCTATATAAAAGGCTTCTCTTTACTAAAGAAATGCAATGGAGAGATCTCACTGAAGGGGTGAGTTTCCTGAGGCACTGTACTTGGATGGCCCATTTTTTTTACCTTCACTGGAGAACGTGTCATCATCTCCCCAGATCCTCGTGGGAATATCCGTGCTTGAGCAATCATTTCCAACACACTTGTTTTCCCAGCACTCTGATCTCCAACCACAACAACCTTTTTACAAAGCAAATACATTTTCTCATCTTTTTCTGATACCAGATTAGAACAGATTTGTAATTGTCTTTTAAAATATATATAAAGCATTTTTAAAAGTTCATGAATAAATGATGGTTGATACATGTAGCCATACTAAAAATTTAACAAATGAAAACATTATTTATAAGCACATTCTTATTTTAAAACACCTGTGCTAATTAAACCTGCCATTTCTAAAACCAGATTACTAACTATTCACTATTACTAACTATTCTTTTCCATAGCTAGTTTACTCTTTTCAAGCACAATCTGAGTTCTATAAGGGTTAAATTTAATTCATATGTCTAATTCATTGCTTGGATATTTTAATATTATAGATTTAAATAAAATTAAAATACAAAATATCTAATAGTCTTTTCATAAGACAACAATGTAAGTAACTGATACTTGTATGTAAATGCACACAACATCTAGTGTATAAATTATTACCTGGAATATATGAATAAAACTATATAGTTTGAGCAATTGCTCTGTTCTTAGCATCAAAAAAGGTACGTATCTATACCCATGCATGCACACACGCAGGTACTTCTTTCCTTACCCGTGGTAAATGATCTTGTGTGTTATAACTAGCATCATAATCAGAAAGAACATCCAGAACTTCAGAATACATGTCAATCAGAGATTTCTGTAAAAAATTAAAAACATATATAAAACAATGAAAACTCAAGGAAAAAATACTGCAGAATATGTCAATAAATTCAAGTTGTTTCCCATGCCCATCATACTGCTTTTTCTAAATACATAAATTCATATTTAAAAGCTGAAATATTACTAAAAAATCCATTTCTTTTCCAGTTTATTTCATTTTAAATATACTGATTTAAAGAAGTCCATTAACTCAGTATTAACAAAGGTAGTAATTAATATTGATAAGACTAGTATAAAATGCAAACAGAAGATGATGAATATAAAAAGATAAACTTCAGTATTTCAGTAAAATAAATTGATACTCCAGAAAATACTCTTTAAATATAAAGATTTTTAATGAGCATAGTGTAAGATAAATCTTGGGAGATTATAATTTGTGAAATGTTAGCGTAGGGTGGAAAAAGAATTAAAAACAAACTTTAATTCTTAAAAACCTGTATCAATGAACACAATGTAAAGCATTAAAAGTTCTATGAATTAGCAAATTAAATACCTTTAGCTTTCTATGATGAATGCCTTTGTCGTCTTTTTGCAATACTAATTTTCTCAATTCTTTGTTCTCCTTTTCTAAACGTTCCAAGATTCTCTGATACTTTAACTGCAAAAAAGTAATATATACAACTATATAAGACAAGTTAACAAATGAATACTAATTATAAATTAAATCTTCCCAAATTCTGAAATTACATTGACTCTTTACAACCAATTATTATACCTATGATATTGAAAAAATAATAATCTGACCTAAAGAATGAAATTCATTATAATTTCACCACATCAACAAGGTTTTTTCTTTGCTGAAGGAAGTTTTATCTACATCATCTCACTTACATTAGACTACAATAAGAAAATGTCCTTAGTTGTTCTTTTTTTTTTTTAATTAGAATTACCTGCGTATGCAGAAGTTCTTCTTGAAGTTGGTCAATTTTTTCTTTGTCTGACACCTAAGTATTTAAAAGAAAGTCATTTTAGATGAGAATTAGGTTAAGTTAGAATTTATAATAAGTTAGAATTTATTTGGAATATACAGTAAGTTAGATTTGGAAAGAAGTACTAGAGTAAAAAAAAACTACTGGGCTTTTTATGTTTTTAATGAAAACAAATTTTAAGTCATGTGGTTCTTAAAGAAAATACTGCATTCATCAATAAAAAGTTAATCAAAGTCTTATATTACAAAGTAAAAACCTTTAAAAAGGAATCATTTTCCTGTTGCTACTTCAGCCTCTTGTTCTGAAAGGCTTGCTGGAAAAATAAGAGATGAGTACACATGGTCACTATTTTCTTATGAGGCTGTTTTGTGTTTAAAGCACAGGGACTTAATTATCTGGCATAAGAAAGCACTGACAACTCTCCAGAAATTTTATTTTGGACAGCTGATATGTATTGCTGTGTATAAAGCTACTGAGAGCTCATTGGTCTTATGGTGTCTTTCAAGGAGCAGTAACACATCTGTACTTTTAAATAGGGAAGTGCATAATAAATGTAAAGAACAATTTGTATTTTCACAGCACTACATGAAGCCAGATTATTGTTAAATTCCCATGCAAGACCTGCTAGCTCATTATATAGGGAATATATCTATAGAAATTAAATCAAGTAGGGCAACTGAAATGTATTTGAATATAAAACAGAAGCTAATCCAAAGGTATTGTGTAAACTACTTCAAATTGTTGATTATAATATAGTTCTAAGATAAAGTATAAAAAAAAGAACTTCAAGGGCTGGGAAGGTGGCTCAGTGGCAAAGCACTTGCCTTGCATGCCTGAGGCCCTGGGTTCGATTCCTCAGCACCACATAAGCAAAAAGAAAAAAGCCGGAAGTGGCACTGTGGCTCAAGGGGTAGAGCGCTAGCCTTGAGCTAAAGAGCTGAGGGACAGTGCTCAGGCCCAGAGTTCAGGCCCCACGACCGGACCCCCCCAAATAAAAAAAAAGAACTTCAAAGAACTGTACTGTTTGACAAGTTTTAAAGTAGTCACAATACAATTCTAAACACAAAATACAAAGATTCTAATAAAAATATGTCCTTATAACAAATCCACATAACTATGCATTGACTTCTTAATAATACATAGTTATCTTTCTTAGCCTCTAAAATTGTCTGATTTCTGAAAATCAAAATTTGTAAATACAAATTTATTTCATAGCAGAAAAACTGAGTTGAATTCATATTCTTTCATGTTGAAGTTTTTGGGTATTTAAATTTGGCTATTTAAATTAAGACAGGGTAGTAAAACATATATATATATATGTATTTTGATGATTTCTATAGTGAGGTAGACATTAATAAGTCTTGTCCATGTTATAGTAATTTTAAGATTTTAAGTCTTACTTCTTTTTCAAAACTTTCTCCAAACTTTTATTTAAATAGATGAAAATACGTGCTAGAAATGATAGGCGTAGTTATTTTCTTCTTATACATCTATGCCTGAAAAATATCTCAAAATGATTTAGTAATGAGAAAACACATGTAACAAACTTCCATTTGCCATCCATGTATAGCAAGCAGAGACTTGCCAATGACTTTTTCATTTTGACTATGTGTGCTTATGTTCAATGAACAAGAATTATTAAGTCTCTTAAGCTGTGAGGAAATAAGCAAGATGAGAAGGAGCCAACACCAGCAGAACAAAATTTAGAAGGCCCATGAAGAAATAAATGATCATGTGCCATGCCACCATTCTGTGTGGTCAAGAAACTCTGCTGTACAGAATAAACTTCAGTCCATTCTAAAAGGCATTCTGATGTATTTTGTTCCACTAAATATTCATCCAACTGTGGCTAAATCAATATAAAACATGTAACAAGAATTAGTTTCAACTGCTTTAGTTTTGAATGTACGTCACATCAGCAACATTTAATGATTTTATGCAATATATCCTAAATTACTATAGAAAACTCCAACACCAGTAACATTTTGGGTAGAAATTAAGAAACTAATAAAAGCTATAAAAGGTTAATTAGTAATCTGAAAAAGGTTTTATAAAAGTTAAGATGACGTAAGGTTATCAGACTACTAAAATACAATCTTGACAGATTAGTATTTAGTAGCTACAAATGATTAAGATTCTAATAAATTTGGATTTTTCAAGTATTAAGTCAATTGCTCTTTTGGCACAATCATAAAGAATAACTCCTACAGTTTGAAGACATACTTCTTATCTACTCAATTGAATGGAACATCAAAATTAATGTTACACTAAAGGACAGGTAATGGTAGGGGAGACAAGTTACACTTGAGAAAGAGAGAATGTGTGTGTGTGTGTGTGTGTGTGTATGTACCAGTTGAGAGAGAGAATGTGTATGTGCGTGTGTGTGTGTATGTGTATACGCACCAGTATTGGAGCTTGAACTCAGGCCTGTTAGTGTTCTTTAGTTATTTTATTCAAGGTTGGTGCTCTGTCACTTGAGCCACAGCCCCATTTTTGGCTTTTTGCTGCTTAACTGGAGATAAGAACCTCACAAATTTTCTTGCCCAGGCTAACTGAACTGTGATCTTCAGATCTCAGCCACTGAATAGCTGGATTACAGGTATGGGCCACCATACCTGTCATCTAATGACAGGTATGTCATCTAATGACATTTGCTAGGAAAACCTTTTAGTTTTATAAAATGAGTACTGACAATAGATGAAAAGATCTGTTGGTATGTTATCTTTTTTCTTTTTTTTTTTTTTTTGTTGGTATGTTTTCTTAAGAGAAGATCACAGCCGGGCGCCAGTGGCTCATGCCTGTAATCCTAGCTACTCAGGAGGCTGAGATCTGAGGATCATGGTTCAAAGCCAGCCCGGGCAGGAAAGTTTGTAAAACTCTTATATCCAATAAAACACTAGAAAACCGGAAGTGGTGCTGTAGCTCAAGTGGTAGAGCGCTTACCTTGAGCTGAAGAGCTGAGGGACAGCACTCAGGCCCAGAGTTCAAGCCCCACGACTGACCAAAAAAAAAAAAAAAGAGAGATCACAAGTTCTTTTCACTCTGCCACTAACTCTAGGTCCTAACAACAACATGGGTATTCTAGATGTGCTTTACACATCACTTTAGAGCCTCTTGCAAGAAGGAACCTGTGCCCTCTTGTTTAATGTATTTTGTTTTCATTATGAAAGTAATTTTAAGCTCACCCTGACAGAAATGAGATCAACAGTCTGGAAACCAGAGCTTTTGAACAATTCCAGGGCTGTGAAATTGATGGAGAAAATGTGGAACCCTCTGCAGAAACAAGCTAAAGCTGAAAGAAAAAAGCCGTTACTAGCCTGACTCTAAAAATTTAAATATTTCTCCTGCACGCCCCTGTTGTCATACGTATATAAGAGAGTCATAGTAGATATATGGGCATGTGTGTGTGTGTGTGTGTGTGTGTGTGTGTGTGTGTGTGTGCGAGTGCATAATGTGTATGTGAGTGCTTGTGTGTGTGCGCGCACGTGTCTTCTTAGGAGGCAAAATTACCAATGGCAATTTTAAGCTTCTGCTTTTGATTCAGATAACATAGGCAAAATCTATTGCTTCTATCAAAATGTAAAAACCAACATATATTTTCATGAAGGTTATGGAGAAACAAAAAATACCTGGGATTTGTTTTGAGTCACAAGTAAACCTCAAATGCCTAGAATGATTAAAAAAACAGATACACAAGAGTATTTTGATCGTAACAGTGAAGAGCCCACAGTCATCTTAGAATGCTCCAGGAGGAGGGAAGGATACAATTAGGAACTGGCTTCTCAGTAGCAGGAAATAGTCTGATTGTGGAGAAAAATGTTTTTGTTTTTGCATATGTAACTACAAAGAGGGAAGGAGCAAGACTCATTAGTGCTCCAGTAAGTATATCTTGATAACCACAACAGACAATGGTACAGTCCTGCCACACACTATTTTACAAATGGGGAGAGATTCAAAAGAATTAAATGGACCCCCAATGAATGGTGGAAATGGGAATATCTAAATCTGAATTAAGTCTAGTAAAATGATCTAAATCTTTGTCAATGTAGAAAATGAGTAAGTATTCATTAGCAACATCCTCTGAATCCTCAGATTCAAAGGCACATTGCAAATTTTACACTGTATCTTAGAATTTTTAAGTGACAGGAAGATGACATTCATTTCAATTTCATCATTATGGGAAAACTCTTTAGAACAACTTGTAAGTAAAGCTATATTCATATTGTTAAGCAGCATAACATGATGTAATGATTCTTCTCCCTTTTTTCTTTAACGAAACAAATATGGAAAGAGGGGTCAAAGCATCCAATTTATTATTTAAATGGTACATTCATAGCATGGAAAACAAAAAAACGTTAAAAGTACCACTCAAAAGTAAGCCCTTTCTTGGGTTAACACATCTACTTCAAACAAATAGAAAAAGAATATTTTCTATGTCATTCATTGAAAGCTAAACAAAATACAGGGATTAATCACACAGCCATGGAATTGAGAAAAGCCAGGAAGTCACAATGAAAGAAAGAAAAAGAAAGAAAGAAAGAAAGAGAAAGAATGATATTATTCAGGTATTTACCACCACCAAACAGATAAGGGTAGTCAGAAGAATTATAGTAAGTCATTATTTATAATATTGGCTGATTTAGATAGTAAAACCTAACTATATGGCTGAATCTTTTAAATAAAGGTTGTATATAACTTAAAAACTTTTCTAATTATGTAAAAATCAGCTCACTTTTAAGATCTCGGTCTGTAACTGTATCATGTCTACACTGATTTCACTTTGATCTAAAAGTCAATTCAGATATGAACTGAGAAATCTATAATGTGGTATTACTAAACAGTCAAAAGACATTTTTAATTGCACCAATAACCAAGTATGTGGGCAACTCAATAACTGAACCATATAACCAACAGTCCCTAATTTTATTCTAAATAATAATCCATGGGCCTTTACCAATGACTAAATTCCTATACTTGAGCTTATTCCTTATACTTTGAGCTCTGTGATGTTACTCTCTTTCAGAAAATTTCCATATCTATATAACTTATCTGTTTTATATTTACTTTGTTAAAAACCATTTCTCATAACTGGAGCCCATGAATGGAATAAGGTGACACATCTTGGCAGAAATGGCTGATTAGTGTGAACACATCAGTAGCCCCCTTAACCATCCATCACCTTGCGCTTCTGTTGGGCATAGCTCGTGCTATACTGGCCAGCGGTTCTGCGTGCTTCTTCTTCATGCTCTTGAATTTGCTGTTGTAAGAGAATGAGCTCACCAAGCAGACCCTGCCATGAGTTTACAATGAGGAGAAGAGGAAAATTGGGGAGGAGAACAATGTTAAACCAAAGGGCACAACAAAGGAACAGACGTAAGACAGGGAGGAATGAATAGCTTAAAAACAAAAATGGAAACTCATGCACCTATAGAGCCTTCATACAAACAGGCTCTGTACTTCATTTCCATTTTTCCTTTGGAAAAATAAAACAGCATAGTTTAAAAAGTGAAAAAGAAGGTGCAATAAATATTGCTGAATTAAACCAGATCTAAATATCAACACACAGTAAAACCCAGACTAACTGGAATGGTTAAGGAAGACAGCACTATATCTAGGTCACTGTACTCCCATTTTAAATTGTTAAAATATACTAATGTATAATGTTCATCTGAAATATGGCCAAGAAAGAAGGCTTTTTTTTTTTTGGTTGTGGTATTAGGAGTTAAACTCAGGGCCTTATACTTGTTCAGCAGGTGCTCTACCACTTGAGTCACTCCACCAACCCTTAATTGATTATTTTCAAGATAGGGTCTCACTTTATGCTCAGGCTGCCTGGACTAGCTCCTCCTTACAAGTGCTTCCCTTAACTACTGGGATAACAGATATGTACCACAAAGTTCTGTATTGGTTATGAGTCTTATGAACTCCACAATCACCATCTAGGATCACAGGCTAAAGCTACAGCTTAATAAACAGTGTTCATCTTATAATGTATAAATCTTTTAATTTTCATAGGCTTGATTAGAAGATCACAACAGCTTATTTATTTATTAAATGACAATTCTTGGGTAAGTATTTTTCCTCAGTATTTCTTCATTTAAAGATCAGTCTATCCAAATTGAGGAGGAAAACAATGTTAAACCAAAGGTGTACAAACAAACAGATGTAAAACAGGGAAGAATGGATGGCTTAAAATAAAAATGGAAACTATTATTCTTGAGTTTTCTAGCATCAACTTAATCAAGGTTTTATACTAATTCATATCTTCTACATGTTTTGGATAAACTTTATTTAAAGTGAAATTTAGCATATTTTTTTGTAAGTTAAAATTGTTGTAGGTTTTATTTTGATTTTATATAGCTTTAAGTAACCAATTTGATTGGATTTTCACTTTTTATGAGCTGTTTTGACATCAAGTAGAAATAGTCTCTACGAATATAGCCAAGCACTTATTAGTTACTAAGCAGAAGCACTATAGAGGAAAATAACTGAAGTAGAGAAAAAAGTTACTATGGAAATTAAAAACAAGTCATTTTAGATCTATATGGAAAATAATTACCATTCCTAGTTCTAAAATTAACTCAACTTAGTCATGAAATGATAAATTGGCCTAATTTATATAACAATGTATTTACAAATAGCATATTGAAATACAAGTCATTTCCTTCCATCCTTCCCTCTTTCCCTCCTTCCTTCTTTTTGCTGGTCCTGGGGTTTGAACACAGGACTTGGGTACTATCATTGAACCATTTTGTGCTCAAGGCTAGTGCTTAACCACTTGAGCCACAGTGCCACTTTGGCCTTTTTCTGAGTAGTTTATTGTAGATAAGAGTCTCAAGGACTTTTCTGCCATGGCTGGCTTCACACTGTGATTCTCAGAGCTCAGCCTCTCAAGTGGTTAGGATTACAGGCGTGAGCCACTTATGCCTGGCTGAAGTACATGTCATTTTCTATGCAACATTTTAAATTGTTACCCAAGAAGGTAATCAGATTGGAGAAATGTGAAGAAAGAACAACTATGAATTAACAATATCACAAATTTAATATTTTCTCAACTAAAAGTCATAAAAAGGTCCCAATAGAATGAGATATGTAACTTGTTCCAAAGCAGTGTACTGGAAGAAAAATGGGTCCAGTTTCTACCAAAGTAAAGTTAGAGAATCATATTTGTTAAAATAATCTAAGTTAGAGGAGTTTTTTTTTTTTTTGGTCGTGGGGCCTGAACTCTGGGCCTGGGTGCTGTCCCTCAAGTTCTTAGCTCAAGGCTAGCACTCTACCACCTGAGCCACAGTGCCACTTCTGGCCTTTTCTGTTTATCTGGTGCTGAGGAATCGAACCCAGGGCCTCATGCATGCAAGGCAAGCACTCTACCACTGAGCCACATTCTCAGCCCCAAATTAGGAATTTTAAATAATTTTAGAAAAATTTAAAGTATAAAATATTATTGTGCATAATTAGAGTCTCTTTTATATAATCAGGTCTCTAATAAAACATTATATTCAAAATTTAGCTAGTAGATTCATTGAGACTTTCTTACTTAGTTTACCTTATATAACACAAAGACTTACATAAACGTTTCCCAGAAAATAAATACATGTAAGTTAGTATTATGACAAAACATTTTAAATTATAGGAAGACTAATATATAATTGTGGAAATTTTTGTTTTGATTCTTAATTTTAATGTTAGATTCTGATTAATGTCAATATTAGACAATTAGTGAAACTGATTGATTTACTATAAAGGATGAAATTAATCAATTATTTTCCCACATGACAAGTGAAAGTTCAACATTTATATCCAGATTCAATAGCAAACTATATTTATAAAACAAGTTATTTTTAAGACATAGCTTTTAATGAATCAATTTTATAGTCATTTACCAACTGTCGAAGAAAGATAATGCTGTCTCATTATTCTCCTAATTTTGGCAGTTGTTATACTACTGCTTTCATCAAAAAGAAAATAATCTGACATTTTTTTCATTTGATAATTTATTCTATTCATCCCTTCTTCTAACATCCACATATTTACATTTCCCCCAAAAGGGAATCACACTACACAGTAGTGTAATGACTATATTTACATACCATCAGTTCCTTAATTTATAATATACCAAAGCATTCTTGTTATACCTTAAATGCCCTTCTCTAAGTCATTGCTTATATCTAAGCCCAATAATAAATAATCTCTTATCTATGAGCTTATAAGAAAGTATCCTCTTTCTAGTTACACCTCACTTTCCTTCCAAGTCTGTTATTGAAGCACTGTTACGTGAAGATAGGTGAAATTAACTGTTACCTCCTGAAAAAAGTAGGAAAACAAGAATTAGACATCAGAAAAGCTATTTTCACTAAACTATATATACATTGTAAAGTTAACCTTCCCAGTTTTAAGCATCAAATCTCACCCTAGTGTGTACCAAGTATGTACACATCAGGTGTACATACAGTTTCTTCTCTTAAGACCAGATGGAATGGAAGGGAAGAAATACATACCTACTATGCAGGGTATACACTCCTAATCAATAAATACATCCTAATCAATAAATACTTTCCCAAGTTGGAACTTCTTTTCTTTCAAGAAATAACAATTGCTTTTAAAATGCTGTTCGTAAAATAGTAATTATTATAAATAACAAAAATTACTGTTACTCATTATAAATGATACTCTTTAAGCATCCCTTGGCTATTGTCATTTTTACAATGTGGTGTTCAGACTCAGATTTCACAAACAATGTTCTCAAGGTTTGGTTTTGTTTTTGTTTTTTGGTAGTGGGACCTGAACTCTGGGCCTGGGCGCTGTCCCTCAGCTCTTCAGCTCAAGGCTTGCATCCTACCACTTGAGCCACAGCGCCACTTCCGGCTTTTTCTGCTTATGTGGTGCTGAGGAGTTGAACCCAGGGCCTCATGCATGCAAGGCAAACACTCTACCACTGAGCCACCTTATCAGCCCGTCCTCAGTTTTTTACATTAAAATTATCAGCTCAAGAAAACTAGTAATAACTCCTAAGTCCAAAACATTAATTGAAAAAAATAATTTGATAGAATATTTTAGGCAATATTTACATATGTTATGGTCTGAATGTTTATCTCCCTCTGTTCAAACTGACAGCTAACTTCCAATGAAAAGTATTAAGAGGTGAAGCCCTTTGAAGGGTGACAGGAATAGAAGGCTCTGGCAATAAGCAGACCTCTTGTATAAAGCCCTCTCAAGAGCTGTCTGACCACTTTTGCCAGGTAAACACAGACAATCCTTATCTGATACTAAGTGCTGTGTCATCTTGATCTTGGATTTCTCAGAACTGTGAGAAATGTCTGTTTAGGTATAAACAATTCAGTTTATGGCATGTTTGTTATAGCAGCCTGAACAGACCAAGACAAAAATAAGTCACTTGTATGTGAAGGCATTTAAAATGCTATCATTTTAGACAGTATTTAAAAAAATACGTTGCTGAGAAAGGCCCTTATTTTCTTATCCAGACAGGATCTTTCTATACTTCCCAGACCGGTCTCAAACTCCTAGGGCTCAAATGAGTAGCTAGATTCAAGGGTATGTCACCACGACTGTAACTCTAATTTAGAAATACTATTTTATCCATCTGATAGAACAGAGTATTAGTAATCGTTAAATACTAAAATCATAGGGTATATAATCCAAAGGCTTCACTTAGGGACCACTGGGAGTGCTCTGAGATGGGACCCCATTCTATGTTTCTTAAATTCTACTTACTTTGATAACTAGATATTGCAGTAACCCCTGACATACATGTTATGTTAGAACCATTAGGTAAAACAGAGTTTGGAATAGTTTTTGCTCAAATCAAGTTATGACTTATTTTCACTAGTAACAATTTAAAGCTTGTAGCATAAAATCTTTTATAAAATTTTATTTGGTTTGATTTGGCTTGAGACAAAGTCTTATTATAGAGCCCAAACTAGACTTACTTTGGAGATCCTCCTGCTTCAGCATCCCAAGTGCTGGATCACAGGCATGTGTGCTACCAAACCCAGCTTTGAGCATAAAATCTAATTTTTAAAATATATTTAGCTTAATTGTGTAGATTAAGCCCGAAAGGTATGCAAGCAATTTGACAACCTATTTACCCATCTTTCAAAATCTTCAAAGACTCCACAGAAAAACAAGGGAAAAATTTAACCAAATAATGTTACCTTATTATTCAGTTACCTTACACAAAAAAGCTCAAAAGCTACGTATGTATGATCATATAAGAACATGCTAAGCGAAATGAACCCCAAGATATGGACACAAGAGGTTTTTCTTTGCTGT